ATTCCTGACTATAGGTACATTGCTTCTTATGAGAGGGGAGCTATAGAGTTACAAACAAAAATCCATATAGAGAAATACAAAAATGTCCTTGATGCTGGTCATCCCTAACTATGGGCACATTGCTCTATGAAAGCAAATGATTGTCCTAGGAATGCCGTATTGGAGAGTCACTTGATATGATGACTCAGAAAGCTGGGAGGACCCTCCCACACCTGTCCAGAAGGCCTCCGAGACCCTAGGTAGGGCCTTTAGAAGGACAGCTGCTTCTGTGTGTTAGGAGGAGGAGTGGGAAGATAGGAGCATCCTATCCTGAGAAGGGAAGCCACTGGGGTCCTTAGGTCCCTACTGTGCCACCCATGTTATTTGCATCATTGGTGAGAACCTTTCTACCAACTATGCTGTTGAAACAGACCTAAACTCCCTAAACACAGATAAGTTTGTGGCTTTATTTATTTTTGTCTGGCTTCATGCATTTTTTAATAATTATTTTTGTATTTTATTGTACATATTCACAATAAAAACCCTGGGTTCACATGATATGGTTAGACTTGCTCTTTTTGTGTCTGTTATGAGGTGTTCTGTTCTTATGAAGATAGCTTTGTGGTTAAGACCTGAGACTTTGGAATCAGACCCTGGAAATTAATTTCTTGGCTCCATCCTTGACTGACCATGCAACTTTGGCCAACTTACCCAGTATCTCCAAGCTCCAGCTTTCTCATTTGTAAAATGAGGATGGGAGGGGCTCCTCCCTTATAGGGTGATTGTGAGACTTAGAGAAAATCCGTGTAAAGTGTATGTACACCAGGATGGGGTGTATTTTGAGTTGTACTATTTTCCCCTGGGATATCTGGGGATAAATATGCCCACTGTTACCTCACTATCTTGGTTTTCTCAAATCCTTTTTACAAGAAGGCACGTTATAAATAATAAATAATTGTGATTTTTTTATTCTTTATTTCCAAAGACACAATTTACTCTTGTTGATTTATCACACAGTGATTCGTAATGGCTCACACAAGGAATTCAGGTGGACACTAAATTTCTCTGGCAGTGAAATTTCCTCTGGGAGCACACAGCACTGTAAGGGGAAGTCAAATGATGATTTTTCTCTGCTACTAATAATATCAAATCTCATTTCTTCAGTGTTGCTGAAAGTGTTCTATGTGCTAATTCATTGTTTGATGATGAAGAAGGAGGCATTCCCATTTGAAAATATGTCACCACAGATACTTCCATTACAATCTATTTGTTATAATAAAGACCTAGAATGTGCATGATGGACAGAGTTACATGGCATGGACTAGAATCTGGAGTGGCTTTGAAGTTAATTAGGTGACTCTCACGTCTGATGGTAAGGTGCCATTGATTGATATGTCCCTGGAGAATTTCATGTGTTTCGCTACCATGAAGTGTAAAAGATGTTATATGGAAGAGAGCGAACATTGCTACCTAATAATTTGTATTTTTTTCCTAAAAGATTGTATTTGTTCAGTCTTTAAACACCTAGAAGGTACCAAATCATTAGTTGATATCTGGGAATGGAAATAGTAAGTATGCACATCTTATAATAGAACACTTTTTTTGCTTTGTTTTTAAACTTTTTATTTTCTTGGAGTATAGCCAATTAACAATATTGTGGTAGTTGCAGGTAGACAGCAAAGGGACTCAGCCATACATATACATGTATCCATTCACTCCCAACCTCCCCTTCTCTTTCAGGCTATTAATAGGACACTTTTTTAATTGACAAAAACTAATTTTGTTTTCTAATCAGAGTTGCCACTCTTTGAATCAACTGTAGAAAGTTGAAAATATCTTTGTGGGTGGCCACAAAAGTTTTTGAGAGAATTTTAGAAGATGTGCCATAGTGGAATGTCATTGACTTATTTAGTTTCTTCCCTTGCCTTAAAGGCAACATGTGGGCATTCTCCAAATGTGTGTGAGTGTGTGAAAGCATGAAAATGTTTATCGCTCAGTCCTGTCTGACTCTTTGTGACCTCCTCTGTCCATGGAATTCTCCAGGCAAGAAAACTGGAGAGAGGTGCTACGCCCCCCTCCAGGGGATATTCCCGGCCCAGGGACTGAACCCACATCTCTTGCGTCTCCTGCACTGGCAGATGGGTGACAGGTTCTTTAACACTAATACCACTTGGTGAGCATGTGGGTGGGCATTTATTTGTAATTCAAAGACTCTGAAATGTTTTGCTGTAGTTCTTTTTTTTCTTCTGAAACCATTTGCCGATTAAGTGGTTGCTATATCACTAAAGCTGAAAGAAATTGAGTTTGTATACCAACAACTTGTCACCAGATGAATAAAAAAGATTTTGTTTAATTGACCATAACAGAGTTTTTCCCCCTCTTAGAAGTCTGTGTTTTAAGGAAATTGCACATGACTTTTTTCTCCATAGTACCCATCTTCAGTCTATATTTAGACTGAAGGCATGCTTAAGTTAAGGGATATGGCTTAGTAAATATTGATATTCTTTCTGAAACAGGATATGATATAATACTTGCATAATCAGGATTCTGTCTAGACTAGTGAAATTAAAATAGTGACAGAGCAAAAGGAATCTCTGAAATGGAATGCTTTAGAAAACATTTTACCAAAATATTGATAAAATTTGTGTATATAAAAAGCATTTTATATCAACATTAAAGTTAAGGTCTCAATATCTAGAATGCCATATTCCCTTTTGTATATTAATATTTTTGTTATTTATCATTTTGACTGATCTTTCAGAAGATAAAGTGGCATTTATTTCAAATGCTTTAGTCTGGATAAAGAGGAGTCTCAAACATAAATGCACCTCAAAAATATAGAATAGAGCATGCTGCCTATAATCAGCAGAGGGGAAAATGATCACACTGGTTTTATTTTGGGCTAAAATATAATCAATAAATATGTCAGTAGGTGCTGACTAAGAAGCAAAACCAAATACTGGTCTTAAACTTTAGGAGCTTTGACCAACTAAAACCAAATACTTAAATTGAAGCTTCACATTTGTTTAGTAAATAATTTATTTCCAAAGTCATTTTTCTAAGAATACTTAGTTGAAAAAATTACCAAAGAATACTTTCAAGCCAGGAATGGCTTTGAAACCTACTAAATCAAGTTTAGCCCAGAAAGAATATGGAGAGAGTTAGGACCAGGCTTGACTGAGTCAGTGGGTGTCCCTTACAGATGAATGACTTCTTCCCTATCTCAATATTCTGTAAATATGCTCAGTTATTCTATGAAGCAGAGAAAGAATTTATTTTATAGCATTCAAATGAAGGTAGGTATTATGTGGCATAGAATTCCTACTCAGTCACACATCAGCTCTGTGATCTTGGACAAAACTATTTACTATTTCTGAGTTTTCCCCACTATAAAATGACATAATAAGAGTACCAACTTCCCAAGAGCATTGTGAGGGTAAAAGAGATTAATCCATGTAAAGTTCTTAGCAGAGTGCCCATTCTCAAATAAAAAATAGTGTTTTCTTAAAGAAGTAGTGTTACCTAATGCTATGATTATTTTAAAGTGTAATTCATTTTTCCCCAAGATGAATTTGAAATAATAGTGAATATTCTTCCACTCTGAGGTGGGCTTGCAGTCCTTTGCCATGAATTATAGTAAATGACAATTGAATAAGATTAATTTAACTCTGCAGTCTTGGTCGAATCTGTCATTTCCAGCCTCTGCCTCAGAATTATATGGGAACTTAATCCTTGCAGCAATTTATATTCTCTTCATCAGATCTCATTGGCCACTGCTCTGTGGAATAGACATAGGTAATAGGTGAAGGAAGTGACCCCATAGACATGTGTATTGCTTGTGCTTTATTGTGTGAAAATCAGGGATAGGCATTAAAAAAGGACAGGGTGAGCCAGGTAGTTGAATCTGTTAAATATATCTGTCTTGATTTAGATGGCAAAAGAGAATAAAAATGTTCCAAAACAGTCATAAATTTAAAGCCATATGCTTCCTTAGAGATCTGATTATGGTTCTCATTTCTCCCCCTGTAGGGGAGAAGGGAGATTTTGGAAGACAGCGCCATTATTTATGGCGAGAACCAAGTGATGAATATGCATGGAGACTTGGAAGGGTCTGAGCCCTCCTGATGCTCTGCTCTCCCTTTCTCTGCCTGATCCCTAGACTGAAGGAAGCTACTGACCAAGGCCACGCCATTTACTAATTTCACATTTTGGAGATGTTAGCTGTGTGTTCTCTGCCTGAGGCAGCCAGCCATTTGATTCTATCATGGGCACCAGGATATTGAAATTCAGAAGCTTGTGGTAGCTGGTACATTAATGTGGGGGCAAGGGTGATACTCATTTTATTTTATTTTTTTAATATAAATATTGTAACACATTACCTTGAAATGACTTGAATTAGTGACTGATCAACAGCATTATTTGTATTTGCATTATATCCAGGTGTTGCTTCAATTTCAATTGCAAGTTCTGCAGGCATTGTGAGGTTTTCTATTCCTTTGTGGACCAAAGAATATTCAGGTTGCACTCCCTGATCTCTCTTTTTGTGTTTTGGATTAGGTTTATAAGAGCATAAAATATTAAGCCTTCTAATGGATTTTTAGTACTCAGAATAGTGTTCATGTATGATGTGAAGTAAATACAATGACACAAAGCATGAAAAATAATCTTAGGTAAAAATGCACAGAACATGTTAAGTCAGATTTTTTCCTTTTAGTGTCCTTGTTTCTACTTTTTAAAGTAATAGTGATGATTTCATGGATATGGAAACTTTCTGAAAGTTATTTTTTTTGTTTGCATATGTATGTTTTCTGCTTTTGCACATTCTGCTTTGCCAGCTTTGTCAGAAGTGAAGCAAATGTTTACTGTCTTGGGTGCTCTTCTAATTTATATACACAGTTTTGATATCAGTGAAAAGCCTAAAAATTTTGAGTTTAACCCTTAGGACAAAGAGCAGCTAGAAAGGTGACGAGTCCTTAAATATTAATTAATTCTAAAAATATTCAACTTCTTTTCTCTTGTAGTGAGAGATTTTTCTTGAGGCTAAATAGAAACGGGCTTCCCAAAGCCCCAGATAAACCAGAACGACACTGCTCTCTCTTCGTGGTAAGTGGATCTTGTTTTATCAAGGAGGCAGATTCTTTCTTAAATACTTTATCTTATTTAAGAGAGTAAGTTATTATGAGAGAACATAGTGGATTTGCTGAAACTTTGTAAATAACACACAAATTACAGTGAAAGTGGAATGAAAGTGTTAGTTGCTCAGTGGTGTCTCTTTGCCCATCAGGCTCCACTGTCCAGGGGATTTCCCAGGCAAGAATACTGGAGTAGGTTGCCATTTGCTCCTCCAGGGGATCTTCCCGACACAAGGATCAAACCCAGATCTCCTGCATTGCAGGAGATTGTTTGCTGTCAGAGCTGCCAGGGAAAAGTGTAAATTACAATAATGCCCTGAAATCTGAATGCCAGCTTTCACAATCACACCTTTGTCCCTTCAGTGTGTGTGAGAGCCTGTTCTCTATGGCCGAAGCCCAGTGTGACAGGGCTCAGAGTGGCACGTGCTATTTAGTGTTTATTTAAGAAATATTTAAAGAATGAGTGAACCAGAGACTGAAAAAAGAATGGGCTTTTCTTTTTTAAGTCTTATTTGATATCTGTAGGCTTACAGTAAAGTTGATCAGAGTGGTATTTTTAGAACAGGATTTAAATTATGTGCTTCTGCTCCAAAAAAAATCCATTAAAAATGTTCACATGTGTCTTTCTTCTGTTATTGGTTAAAACAATGTTCTATGCCCTTTAAGTGCTTCTGCCTAAAGGATGAGTTCTACAATGACCAGACTTTGTTTTTTTGGTAGGACTTGGGTAGCAGCGAGCTCAGAAAGGACATCTATATCACTGTGCACATCATCCGAATCGGTAGGTGTGACACTTGTTGGTGTGATAGGAGCACAACGGGAAAAATTGCTGCGAGGTTCCTGTGTACTTGTGATTTATGTGCTGTCTGGATCCAAAAGAAGTCCAAGCAAGATCTGAATCCAATATTCTCAGAATTTGGGATTCTGGTCTCCCCAAACACTCACACCGCCATAAATAGAGTTTGTTCTCTCTCCATCTAAGTCATTAGTTAGTTTGCTGCATTTCATTTTGTTTTATTGGACTTTCTAAAAATACTGGATTCATACACTTGGTATTTGTCTACTCAAATCCTAATTTCTGTTAAAAGCATACATTAAACTTTTAGGAGCTGGATTTTCTACACATTTATGAAAACTTGACACCAACTGGCATTTCCCGAAGTGTGGAAGGCTGCAGAGCGTTATTACACAAGGTGCTATGAGCAAAAGGCTACGGGAGACTGAATGCTGTATATATAGTTTTCACTGGTGTAATTTCATCAGCTTACTAAAGAGTCTGAGAAATCCTACAGGGAAGAATAAAATTGCTTCTCCAACTTTGTTGACCCTAGCTCGCTCCAGATTTGATTTGACTGTGGAAACACTTATATAATGTAACACTTACTAACCTCTTGCAGAACACACTTTCAGTGTTCTACGATGCCCTTGCACATCAAAACCAAAACATGGTCACTAGGTTTACACATATAAGACCTCTAAAAGCAGGCATTTTATGGCAGAGGAAATACATGGTGGAACCTAAGTCATTTCTCTAGGAAAGCTAACCAACTGATGCTGAGAACCGGCTCCCCCTTCCTCACTAACTGCTGCATGGCTTGCTGAGGAGACTTCTGCAGGACAGTAATATCTCACCGTGCAGTCCTGCAGGGTGACTTTTATTTTTTTTTATGGTTTTTTATTTTATACTCATGATGACCCCATTTTGCATTGAGAGAAACTATAAAACATTGTTTCAACAAAGATTTTCTCAGCATTTTTTCCTCATAAAAGTCTGTTCTCAAAACCCATTTAATTTTATCCTCTTTTTATATTTGAGGGACAGCAGAAATAAATAAATAAGTGAACTGTCTTTGGTTTTGTTTTAATTTTCTTTTTATACATGAGTATGGGGTGTAGAAATTGGAAAGAGTCTTTTAAAACGGGCAACATTGTAATGCGTGTTTCTGTGTATTTATGAGATAGAGCCTCTGTCTGTGCCCAGAATGGCAGGGGTGCAGTTTATATAATTCTTTGTGATTTTTTAAAATGTATTCAAATTTGTCACAGCAATTGTTAATGTAAAATGTGATTTTGGACATCTTCATGTAATAAACATGGATACAATTTGAATATAATCTTCTACAAGGTTGAGACAAAAAGTAAACCACTTTAGCTTTCAGAACTTTTAGAAAAGTATCTACAGTTTTTTGGTGGTAGAAAATGATCACTTTTCTTGCTTGCCCATGGGCTGGGCATCTCTGTCCTTCACTCCCAGGATACAGTTGAGGAAACGACTGCATAGTATTACCCATCACAGGCCTGCCTTTCAGATACCTGGCATTTGATTAGAGGCTGTATATTTTACTAAGCTATTTAGGATCATTAAGTCATCAGAATGAATGTTGAATCCCAAATTACCTACCTTCCTTCCCTAAGCTTTGGTCAAATTAATTCTATATTGACATTACTGCAAAAACTTGCCTGATGATCAGTCCAGTAATAATGGAGGTAAGAAACTCAGAAAGGTTAAGATTTAATCTGCTTCAGTGAAATGAAGGAGTGGAAGATCCTTGTCCAGCAGGGACAAATAGAAAAATCATTCTAGAAAGAGTAAGAACTTTTTCTAGAATATTCCTTGCATGGACTTAGTAAGAAAAGGGTACACTGGCCTGCACTGGCTGCCGAGAGCGGGAGTGACAGCACCTGCCCTGGAATTTGAGGCCTGGTCTTCGATCGGAAAGAAGGGGAGGAAATAAAGAGAGAGTTTCCCCACACTAGACTCATGAATAACTGCATGATTTCTATTTAGCAGCGATTGGTTCAACTTGCAACAAAACAGATAATGGCCATTCATAACTATAAAGGACAGACCTGAACAGAAATACTTATAGTGCTTATTTATCAACCCAACAAACTTAGTTGGTCTTTTACCACATTCATTTATACCTACCACACAACTTTTAATAATTTTAGGTATATTTATCCCTTTTTTATCATGAACAATTACTATAGGCTTTCACCATAAAACAAAAGCATCTCTAATGTATTTTCTACCATAGGGAATACCCATTCCTCTTACCAGTATATTTGTAGTTATTGAAACTATAGGCATATTCACCCAAACAGTAGCCCTAGCTATATGACTAACAGCTAACAGCTAATATTACAGCTGAACACCTACTAATTCATGTAATTCGAAGAACAACCTTTGCCCTAATAATTATTAGTCCTACTACAGCCTTCATTACATTTATTGTCCTTGTTTTGCTCACTATTCTTGAGTTCACAGTAGCCAAGTTTACGTATTCACCCTGTTAATAAGCCTGGACCGACATGACCCCCTGTGCTGCCTGCATGTACACTCAGTTGTAGCTGATTCTTTGTGACCCCATGGATTGCAGCCCACCAGGCTCCTCTGCCCATGGGATTCTCCGGGCAAGAATACTGGAGTGGGTTGCCATTCCCTTCTCCTGGGGGTCTTTCCAACCCAGGGATCGTACCCACATTTCTTGCGTGTCCTACATTGGCAGGTGAATTCTCTACCACTGCACCATCTGGGAAACCCTGTACCTACATGGTAATAATACCTCATGATTCGCCAAACCCGTGCATGCCACATAGTGAACACTGGTCCCTGATCTCAGAGGAGTCCTCTCAACTCTTTTTATAGTGTTGAGTCTAGCACATGATTCCATTGTAAATCAGCACTCTTATTATCCTTAGGCCTGTTAATCAATATATTAGTAACATACCAATGAAAATGAAACATCATCCAAGAAAGTACATTTCAAGGCTGTCAAACATTAATTATTCAAAAGGGACTTCAACAGGGAAAAATCCTTTTCATTATGACAGAAATCCTCTTCTTCTTTTTGTTGTTTTTTCTGTGGTTTTTACCACCATTAAGTGGTATTCCAGCTTCTGTTTATAAATATTACTCTGAAGTTGATATATCAGAGGGGCAATTTTCCTTTATTACTGAAGAATGAAAGCCAAATTGAATACTGCCATTCCTTTCTTTTTTTCTATTTAGCATTTGATTTGGAAAGTACTAGAGCCATGCAGACATGTTGTAGGAGGACTTCAGTCAGGTGGAAACAATGTACAGATCTGTTCCCTAGCATCTGGAAACAGACTGACAGACTTTTTTCATTATTTCTCCTCACATTAGCTTGCTATGTTACAGCTCCAGTGTGCTTTTTGCTTTCTGTTTTCAAAATATCCAGTTGGTAATTAAATGCAACGATAAATTAAAACAGTATCTGAACCACAGATTTAAAAACATCTAACAATTTAAACAAGTAGAAACCATTTCAGGGTTAAAAAAGGATCCCTGGAAATCTTAGCCTACATACTGAGTCAGGAAAGAACATGCTCATTTGCTCATCTGGTGAGCAATACCTCCGGTGATCTCAAATCACTTCTTTTCAGAGGTGAAATGTTTAAAATCATTTTTTGAAATATGGAGAATCTTACAAGTAGAAAATGAAATGGGCACCCTTACTGCCTTTTTGGATGCGATTCTCCTGGGGTGCCTTCGTGAATGCTTCGGGAAGGGTACCCACACATGGGCTCAGCTTCAGTCTTCATGTTTTATAGGTAACAGCCAATGGCCAGAGTTTGCACTGCCTGCCCAAGGTCACACAACTGTGTGGTCTGAGGGGAGAGTTCAGAACGGAGGCAACAGTTGCCCCAACTCTGTGTCTACCATTACCCACTACATTTCATATGACTTATATTATGGCTGTATGTGTCTCGTCTTAAGCTGGATTAATCAAAAGGCTCCTTGAACTAGGTGTGCTTTCTCATTGAACAGGTCGAATGGGGGCAGGAGAAAAAAAGAATGCCTGTAGTGTCCAGTACCGGCGACCCTTTGGCTGTGCAGTTCTTAGTATTGCTGACCTGCTGACGGGAGAGACGAAAGATGACCTCATCCTGAAAGTGTACATGTAAGAAGCTTGCACATGATATGGACTGGGGTGGGCCTGGGGGTGCATGGGCATCCTATGTCATGAATCTTGCTTTCTGTGGGTAATGGAAGAGCCAGGGATGGGCCAAGTTTATGAGCCATTCCTCAAAAATTTAATTATCTCTAGGCCTTCTACAGTTGAGCCTACAAATCATCATTTGCCTTTCAGAGGAGTTATGAAATTGAGAACCAAAAAGAACAGATAGTTTTCCCACTGGGTGGACCATCCACTGCATAGAATACCTCCCAAGACTTTAAAACCTGTTATAGCTTTACCCTCAAAAAGTTCATTTGTTCTTGGAAAATGGAAATAGCTTTTAACGTAAACTAATTAGAATTAAGGAAAAGGAAGTTCAGATTTGGTGATTCCCCTCTTGCTTCATGTATTATTAGTTTATTATGTGGTGGTTTAGTTGTTAAGTCATGTCTGATGCTTTGCAACCCCATGGACTATATTCCGGCAGGGTCCTCTGTCCATGAGATTTCCCAGGCAAGAATACAGGAGTGGGTTGCCATTTCCTCCTGCAGGGGATCTTCTCAACCCAGAGATGGAACACAGGCCTCCTGCATAGCAGGAGGATTTTTTACTGACCGAGTTACCAGGGAAGCCCATTTTAGGGCTTCGCTAACAAAGCACCGTAAACAGGGAGGCTTAAGCCACAGACATTTATGGTCTCGCTGTAATGGAAACCACAGCTCCCAGATCACAGTGTTGGCTACACTGATTCTTTCTGAGGGCTGTGAGGGGGCTTCTGTTCCCTGCTTCTCTTTCCTGGTTTGTGGTGTCCTGCAGGGCCTGATGTGTACCTTCATCATCACATGTTGTCCAGGTGTGTGTGTCTGTTTCTGTAACCACATCTCCCCTTTTTACATGGGCCTAGTTAGTTATATTCGGAGAAGGCAATGGCACCCCACTCCAGTACTCTTGCCTGAAAAATCCCATGGACAGAGAAGCCTGGTAGGCTGCGGTCCATGGGGTCGCTAAGAGTCGGACATGACTGAGTAACTTCCCTTTCACTTTCATGCATTGGAGAAGGAAATGGCAACCCACTCCAGTGTTCTTGCCTGGAGAATCCCAGGGACGGGGGAGCCTGGTGGGCTGCCGTCTATGGGGTCACACAGAGTCGGACACGACTGAAGTGACTTAGCAGCAGCAGCAGTTAGTTATATTGGTTTAGGACCCACCCTAAACAACCTAATTTTAACTTGATTTTCTGTGTAAAGACCCTATTTCCAAATAAGATCCTCAGAACATGGTTTATGCATCTTTTATGGGTCAGTGGCAGCAGATACAGTTTAGTTTGAACATTCCACGAAGAAAATCCACTGAATGTATTCCACATCCTAAGTTTTTAAAAAGGCACATGGTTTGTGATTGCCCTTGCCTGAGCACCTCCCGACAGGTCTGACAATGGAGAGATGGCACACAGTGACATCCTCAGAGCAGATGCACTGGGGGGTGGGGGATCAGGGGTCCGCATTCCTTATTTGAGGACCACACTACTGACCTCCTCTGTGAGTGAGCTTGCTTTAGTTACCTGTTCGGCTGCTGTAGCATGTGCCAATGGTTTTTCCATATGTAGAGGGGACCCACGTGTTCCACTACCTGCGGGACATATACTTCAGGTTGCTTTTGAAAACAGCTGCAGGGTTTCTTGGATTTATCCATCTTCTACCGAGAGGCCCTGGGACCTGCCCCACATGTTTGCTAATCAGTTGACAAAGATTCACTTATAGCCTGTGGTTTAGGACTAGAAACTCTCTTTGCACCTTTTAAGAGTGATAAAATCTGTGACCTTGATATTAAACTTGAAAACTTTTGGTGAAACTACTGGGTAGTAAAGCATGCTACTCTTTTCTCCCACAGTGGAGCGTAAATCCAGTATAATCCCCTTTCTAAATTTTACTGGTGATTGTGAAACATAATTTAATTGCAACAATACTAATGATAATAGCCTAGTTACTTTGTGCTTACTATCTGCAAGGAACCATGTTAATAAGCACTTTACATGTGCCGTGTCACTTTATCTTCATGACAAACTCATGAAGCAGATGCTGTTGGCTCTGTTTTCCACATAAGGGGACAGAGAGGCTAAATAGCACCCAAAATCACCTGACTAATCAGAACAGGAACCACCTGTGAAGTCAGGACTGCCTAACTCAGAACCTGAGCACTCATGTTACAAGGTCATACATGCTATTTCAGGGTGCTATTTCACACCACTTTCTAGTGATGTGACAATGATGCTGTTAGGTGACCTTGCTTTTTAAGAAAAACTAAAATTTCTCACAATCTCATTGTTTCTTCGAGTGATCTTTCCAGGTATGCGTAGGAAGTGTTAGATTAATCTTGTCAATTGGAAAACTGAGGGACCTGGAGTTGCTTGCATTCCTCTTGAGTATGCACCCAGCCAAGGAAGATCCATGAATTCCATTTCTGTGGGGGTTACTCACTCTCCTAGAATTAAGTTGTACTGCTCTTTGTGGTTGTTATTGTCTGTTTTTTCATATATATCAAATAAAGTTTGGGGTTATACTTGATGCAAGAGAGATCCCTTAAAAATTACAGTTCAGCAATTTATTAATCCATTCCAGGATGAATGCCAGGTAGTCAAAACAGTTATTGTAGATGAAAAAGAAGCTAGAATTTATTAAAACATTTTAGAGGAGTGACTGTTACAAACAATTTGGAAGAAATTTCTATTTGTTAACGTGACCAAATCCTTAGCCCAAACTGGGACTCAAACAGAGAATAGCAAGAAATACCTCGTCTGAGCCTGGAAGATATTTCAGTCACATACTTTAGGAGCTTTTATTTTATTTGGAGTTTTGTAGGTTAAAAGCATGAGTTCCGGAGTCCCTTAACTATTTAATAGGAAGCAAGCTATCTTTCTTCCTTCCCCACTGAGCTGAACTAAGAAAACTAGAAGCAGGGTGTACTAAGTGGCAATTTGGTATCTTACAGCTGGACAAGTGGAATGGTTTTATTTCATCTTAATTTTCCAGCTTTCTCAGTGTCAGTGCTCTTATTTGCTATCCTACTGTTAACTGGTTCAAAGGTAACCTTCATCAAGTTCATCCTGGAAAAGCTTATGGTGGTGAAATAAATAAATATGTAAGCACATTGTGAATTATTGGCTACAGATGAGATCACAAGGAAGAAGTCTGTCTAAGGTGGAATATTTTGATTGATAGTTATAGAATCTTTGATTGTCAGGACCCTTGGGAGGGAGCCTTTGTTACTAGTGAAAGATAGTAGTGAATTTACAAACACCTAACTTGGGGGGGGAGTCTCAGCAGTAAGAAGAGAACAGACCCAGTTATTAACAAATCATCAGGAGTAACAGTCAGAGGGATATCCATTCAGTCATTCATGTAGCCAGTATTTTTTTAAGCACCTCCAATGTTCAAAGTACTGAGGGAAGCACAAGTATCTACCAGTCCTAGATCCAATTCTCAAGAATCTTCGGAGTCTCCTAGGTGAACTGTACCATGTACACAAAGATAGCGTGAGTTGGTAAAAGACAAAAGCTGAAAGACTAAGGTACAGATGGCTGTCAGAGTGAGGGATGGAGAAACGCCTTTTGGCCTAGAAGTAGAAAATCTGGAAGAGTTACCTTAATTACCCTTCAGTATATCCCAGGTTTTTGCCAGTTCAAGTTGTGTTAACCTCAGTTGCATTTTGATGCTAGCCAACTTGGTCATGATATAATAGGTGGAGATTCAATAATTCAATAACATTCAAATAACATTTACTGAGCATTTACTTTATGCCAGGGGTTATCCTAAACCCAAGCTTGTTCAGGGTTCTAGTATATTACCCCCATTTCACTGATGAACAGATCAAGGCACAGAGTAAGTAACTCACCCAAAGAACATAGCTCAGTTAATAGTGAGGATCCAAATCCAGGGAGTCAGAATCTTAGCCTGTACTTCCCACTGTATGCATTGTTCTCTGAGCTTCTCATAAGCGGAATTGTTCATCTCAGCTACTTCATGAAGTAGTTGGTCACGCATTACCAGATATGGTCATTCCTGCTTATCCTGGGGCAGCTAAGCCAAGCCATGTTCTCTGTGTTGAGAACTGTAGGGAGGTTTAAGGAAGTACATTATAGTGGTTATGTGAAAAGGGGCAGGTGTGTAGTAAGGTCATCTCATGCATCATCAAAGCTTAACAGAGTGGCTGTGATTTCACAGGTGTAATACAGAGAGTGAGTGGTATCAGATCCACGAGAACATCATCAAGAAGTTGAACGCGCGTTATAATTTGACTGGCTCCAATGCGGGTGAGTATAAGGTTTGTCTGACTCCCCACACTCTTCATTTCAGTTGCTTTGCTTTATTTGTCTGTGAAGAAGAAGATTTGCAGCCCTTTGTTTTTCTCTCTACTCATTCCCTAAAAGTGCTCAGTCAGCATGCTGGTATGTCTCCTTACTCTATGATAGGTTTGTAACTATAACTCTCAAAGATCTATTCTTTTCTGGTTTGAATCAAGATAGAGTATCCTAGTTTATTCTCTAGTCTTGGGATCTCCAGGTTGTTGCTGATTGCTGAAAACCAAATGACAAATATACCTCGGTTCATGACAGTTGTGTGGAATGGGTTTGATGAACAGGAATTTTTGTCTATAAGGTCCAAGAAAACCATGCTTCTCTGCCTATAGCTGTAGTGTTATATAGAGAAAAGCATATGCATGCCATCAGCAGGAACTGTAATATAACATAGCATTATAAGTTATATATAATATAAGTGGTTTAAATCACTGAGTGGTTTAAATCATTCAGCTGTGTCTGACTCTTTGAGACCCCATGGACTATACAGTTCATGGAATTCTCCAGCCTAGAATACTTAAGTGGGTAGCCTTTCCCTTCTCCAGGGGATCTTCCCGATCCAGGAATCGAACCGGGGTCTCCTGCATTGCAGGCGGATTCTTTACCAGCTGAGCTACCAGGGAAGCGCATATGATACATCAGGTGGTGCATACTCTTATACTACTAACATACTAGTATTATATAGCATATGTAGATTATATAATATATTGAATGACATCTTTAAGTTTGATCAGTATACAAAAACATGGTGAATATTATTTGTTCCCTGTCCCACCTCCAAACCCATGTTGAAGCAGAATAAACTATGCAGTTGTGTGCTTTAATTGAAGAAACAACTAAATCAACTGGTATTTGAACTGAATGTATTGCTTTTTGCGGCTGATTTTTAAAGTACCCTGAATATAGATGGTTGTGTTATAGTCCAACTTGCCTGGCAGTTAAAAAAAACCTGAATTTAAATATAGACCACCTTTTCTTCAGACCTGTGTACATCTCACCAGGTCAAGGGAAAACGTTAGTCACTCAGTCGTGTCCAATTCTTTTCAATCCTATGGACTGTAGCCCAGCAGGCTCCTCTGTCCATGAAATCGTCCAGGCAAGATTACTAGAGTGGGTTGCCATCCCCTTCTCCAGGGGATCTTCCTGATCCAGGGATCAAACCCAGGTCTCTCGCATTGCAGGCAGATTCTACTGTTGCTCAGACAATAATCTGTCTACAGTGCAGGAGACCCTGCAGGGTTTGATCCCTGGGTCGGGAAGATTCCCTGGGGAAGGGAATGGTTACCCACTGCAGTATTCTTGTCTGGAGAATTCCATGGACAGAGGACCCTTTGCATATGATGATCCCACATCACCAGTCCAAAACAACCCACAGAGTAACTGCAGACAGAAACTCTGTGGTTTGTTCACATGAGAGCTATAAGAATTCACAGCTCATTCATGTGGCAGCACTTCAGTCCGTAATGAATGGTGAGGTCAGTTTTCTCTCCAGTTTCCCAAGAGTGGGGGAGGGAACTTGGCTTCCTTTGATCCACACAAAGTCCTCCATCTATCACTAAATAAACAAAATACTTGCACTTGCTATTGAAGGTACAGTCTCTGAAGGACTAGGAGATTTTAATAGTGAATATAACTTGAAATAAGAAGAACACCTCAGAAACTGCTGTGTACACTTGTCTTCAATTTTTCTGTGAAAGAAAGCACTTATGGTGTAGAGACCAAGCGATTTATTTTAAATGTACTTTCAGTAAGATGGTAGGCCTAGTGCTTTTTAAAAACTTATCTTGCCAAATTCATTGACAAACTTCTAACCAAATTCATTACTTTTGACAGACCTTTTGGTATTTCTTGATGCCATGGATTATTTTTTATCATTAAATGTATTTTGTACCTGTGCTGTCCACCTTGATAGGTACCAGCCATCTGTGGCTATTGAGCCTTAGACAGGAGACTAGTATAGCACTGGGATTAAAGTGTGAGCATGATGTTCAGTTGATCAGTGGTATCCAACTCTTTGCAACCCTATGGACTGTGGCCCACCAGGCTCCTCTGTCCATGGGATTTTTGCAGCAAGAATACTGGATTGGGTTGCCATTTCCTTCTCCAGGGGATCTTCCTGACCCAAGGATTGAACCTGCGTCTCCTGGATCTCCTGCACTGCAGACGGTTTCTTTACCCCGGAGCCACTGGAGATGTCATTGCAGTGTGTAGTACTTGTAAAATACACACTTGATTTTGAAGACTTGATACATATATAATGAATATAAAACACCCCTTTAATAATTTTTATATTGATTATATGTGCAAAGGTAACATTGTGGATATATTGGTTTAAACATAATATATTACAAAAGTTAATTTTGTTTCTATTTTTTAAGTGGTTACTAGCCACAAAGGTGGCTCATATCATAGTTCTATTCTTAAATCTATCTAGACTCGATTTAAGAATTTCCTTTTTGAGCTCTTTTGATGCCTCACATTCATTATGCCTTACTCCTTTGCTTCTGCCCACTGACTTTGGGTGGAGAAGTTTGTAGCGATTGTGTATCTTTTTCTTTCTCTCCCAGAGTCCCATTATTTTTAGTTTGCTTGCATTTGCCTCCTATGTGAATAAATAAATATAAAACTAACCCTGACCTTCTAATTTTTCCCGTGTATTCCCTTCCCTCCTTACCATCATAGATGCAGTGTTGACTAAGCAAGGTGTGTTGATCTGCTCCAATATACTTGTTTCCAAATTCCTTGTCAACTCCCAGGTCTTTCCTCTTTGCAGTGTGCCTTACAATTCTTCTGTTGTTGGATCCTTTGAGTTTATCATTGTCCTGACTGAAGTGATGCTCAGTGCCCTCTTGAATCATGCTGAAGTCCTGGATAATGGGCTTTGATTTATTTATATGTCCAGATAGATTCCTTACATAATTTACCCTATATCCTATGAGATCGGGATGCCAGTCAAGCCAAACCATACATTTCTCTCTGCTTACAGGTGGGAGTCATCTCTTAGAGGTGATAGCCTAAAGATATTTGCTCCTGGAAGTGGGATGTCCTAAGTTTGAATCAAGTTTTACTGGGATAATGGTAGTATCATCCTGTAAGGGTCATTGAAGGATTAAAAGAGAAAATGTTGCAGAGCACATAGCAGGGCATTTGATACATAATGTATCTATTCATTGTTTGTTTGTTTTGTTGTGGTTTTTTTTTTTTTTACAACTTCGGAGTCATCCTCTAGAATATTTTACCCTTCTTTTGTCAAGCACCTTGCTTCATTTTCTCAAAATGGATCTTGATTTGATCTTCTAAATGGAGACTTTGAGAATCATACAGCTGAATTATTGGTAGGCTGAATCATCAAATTGATTCTGCCTATTCTTTGTTTCTTCCATCTCCTCTGTGTTCAGTCGACTGCTAACCTCTCTTCCCAGGTCTTCCTTCTGACACGTAGATTAACCCCAGGAAGGAAAGGCAGCATATTATGTTTCCCTGGGAAGTTCCCTGGGTGTTACCTGTTGTGTTTACATCCATTGTACTGAAATGAAAAACCACTTGTTGCATCTTTGGAAAGAATAAAAGAAACCATTTTACCATACAACCCTGCCTAGCAGGTTTTCTCTGCCTTTGGCAGAATCAATCCTGCATTTTGCTGCCTATCTTGATGCTGAGATTCCTAGATTGAATATATACTCTTTATGCTTGGCGTTGGCTGCAAAGCCCTGCCTGCTCTCCTGTCCTTAGAGCCCACTCCTCTCCTTCCCCCTCCTATCAAGCCTGAGTCCCAGCCAGCTGCACCCAGCCAGCATCAGCTCGCCTTCTATTTCTTGGGTCCTTCTGGTCCCTTTTAGCTCGCTCATAGCAAGGCAAACCCAGCCCTAAGCCTTGTCACTCCAAAATACTGCTCCAGAGTGAGAAAGTTCAGACAGAAACTTTTAAAAATTAGTAAATGAACCCTTTACTCTTTCTTTCCATTTAAGTTTCCACTCTTCTTGGAGAGTGGAACATTGTTCTGTTGTCACCTGTCTTGAGGGAAGGCAATTATAAAAATAGTGGATAGAGTTTTAGGAGCTGTTTGGCTTTATTATTGAAAGGGAGGCATCTGCTAGCGTACTTAAGGGGGAAACAAGAATATAGGAAATTGGGATGCCTCATGATTAAATTATCACAGTGAAATGTTGACTTTTTCTCCTTGGACCATGGAGTAGTTGATTAAATGGAAGCAGTGCAGTCAAATGTTTTCAAGAGAATTAAGTTCACTCGACAAAGTGTTGTTTTAGTCCCTGCTTTCCTCCTGCTATTCCTTGATCATTATACTAAAAAAAGAAAAAAAAAGAATAACTTCGAAATTAGTTTTAGAATCAAATTCTACCACCTAATTTTCAGGCCTTTTATGCTTCACTGAAGTGCTCCTATCTTTTGGAGTTGTAATCTTGTCTATTTAATAGGTAAACGGATTTGTCTAGATATCTGGGTTTTTTCTCCCCCTGTAACCTAAGACTTGTGTTGCTAAAGTACATTAACCACTATCTTTATTGGGTTTAGAAACTGGAAGAAAATTTCAGGTGATCCATTTAACTTGTAAAGGTAAAAATATAATTGAATTAACATATATCTGCATGCTTAGATTTAGTTCATTGCAGTAATTCAAAATTTCCAAAGTTGTACTCTGTGAGAATTTTTAAATCCAAAAATCATATTGTGAGAATTTGAACTTCTAAAAATAATCATTAGAATCAGCCTGGTTGAAGTTTGTTGAGCAAATGGTTATTATTAACATCACCTCTGATAGACATTAGCAGTTGAATTCTAGGAATGTGAAATAAGACTGAGCCAATATGATTTCCTGAGACACATTCAGTTCTGTTATTTGAAATAAATTGTGTAAAAATCCTTGGCTCCTGTTCAGTATGTCCTAAGAGAAAATTCAGAATCTTTTAATATTATCTATGTGTTTATGAAATCCT